CTTCTGCCAGCCACCGGCCTCAATATACAAAAAATATATACAATTGTATTTAAAACAGAAAACTATGAATGATATCTCCAAACAATAAGGCAAATAAGAGCTCAGGCAATGGTCTTATTCTTGAGGGCACTGAGCCTGGATAAAACAAGATTACCATACATAGCATAGAAGTTGAAGAAATAATTAAACACAGCAACTAGAATTAATGTAGAAGTTCAGAAAAATTAGACAAATACTATAAGTAACAGAAATAAAATCTATCACAGCAACAAATGGAAAAAACCCCAAAGGAAAAGCAAGTAAAGTTCGTGTCCTCAGTGCCAAATATTAGAAGCAAAGCTCAGAGAAGAGAAATTCCAAGAGACAATGAGAAACTGACAAATTAGGAAGAGTAAAGAGTGAAAAAAGGCAATTCAGTGAGTGGAAAGGAGAGGACTGACTGGAATACCGCCCACTCCCTCTTACCAGGGTTATCCAGAATGGATGTCTATGTATGAGAACTGTAGCTGTTTTATTCCTATATATATGTGTGTGTGTTTGATATCCTTTTTACGTTTCTAGTACAAACATTTTAAATTTTCTCTCAGCAGTACTTCGATGTGTGTGTAAAATATTGACGATATTCTTTTGATCAATGTTCAATGTATAATTTTAATTTCAGTTGTTTTTCCTCTTTCCTAACTATGTGAACTAAGAGTTTAAGATGAACTTTAACATGGGTCGGCCGTCACAGACGGGGATAGGAAGGGACAGTGCAGAGGCAGCAAAAACCATTCAAATTCAGCTGGGCACAAAACTCAACAACAAAAAAAGTTCTATAACATTGCAATATTAATATTAACAACATAACGATAACATAACGTTTATTAGAAACAATGTATCAATATTAAAATATATCAGTTAATTAACGATGAACTGATTCACAATTATCTTACTCTTATAAGCAAGTTTCCTTCTCTGTAAAAGTAAAGGTAAAAATGGAACCTATCTTAGAGTGGTTGGGAGGATTAAATTGGAAAATACACTATAGCCCGGCTATCTAGTTAGCACTGTTTTCAGCAAAACAATTAGTAATTGCTATTATTAACACTTTTTAATACTTGTATTTTTGGCATATGCATCTTCATTCAATGGCCAAAAAAGAAGGAGCAGAGAGCTGGTGTTTACTAATTACTTCTTCTCTACTACATATTTTACTAACACTGAAGCCGTCCACGAGGGCCCTAGATCACGACACGCACCTAGGAGAGGACCCTTCTGCCAGCCACCGGCCTCGGAGATGGCTCCGGCCACCGGCCTTGGCCTGAGATGGCTCCTGCCCCCTCGCGGCCATGTTGGCCGCGCGGTCATCCCACCTTGCTCGTTCCTGTCTTCCCCTCCCCACCGGCCCACGCTCCCGGCTGCGGGCGGAGAGCGCCACGCTCAGACGGCTTCCCCAAAGTCCAAGGGCCTGACGGCGCGAGCCTCCCGCTGCCGCCGGCAGCGCTGGGAAGCCAGACGGCGACGGGGTCGCAAAAGCGTCGCGAAGGCGGCCGCGCTTGGCGGTCCCATGCCACCTGTATAAGGAGAGCGAGCTGGGGTTTGAAAACCAGTATGGAGGCAGCGGAGGCCGCGGTACCCTGGTATCGCGGGGACTTCATGGAGAAGCGGCTCGTTGGTGCCACAGGCTGCTAAGCACTCGCCGCCTGCGTCCCCGCAGCGCGGCCACAGGGCCATGCTGGCCTCGCGTGTGGCGCGCGGTTCGTGGGGGGCTCTGCGCGGCGTCTGGTGGACGCTGGGGGCGCGGCCCGGCAAGGGGCGCGCCCGCGGGGTGAGTTGAATAGTGTACCCCAAAATTCATGTCCACCCAGAACCTCAGAATGTGACCTCATCTGGAAATAAGTTCTCTATAGATGTCGTAAGTTAAGGATCTCGAGATCATCTTGCATTTTGGGTGGGCTCTAAATACAATGAGGTGTCCTTATAAGAAGAGAAGAAAAGACACAAGAGACACACGGAAAGGCGGCCAAGTAAAGGTGGAGGCAGAGATTGTCCACAAGCCAAGGATCGCCTGGGACCTGGGCCCGCGGTCGGAGGGGCCGCCGCCGCCAAGGCCCCGGGCGGCCGGTGGGGCCCGGCGAGCGCCTCCAGCCTGGTACGTACTGAAGAGGCGGTAGAGGGCCGTCTGTACGCTGGTAGTCGCCGGCCCTACGGGGGCTCGGTCCTGCACGCGAATAACGTGCTCTGGCCGGTCCGGCTGTTTCAGAACTTTTAAACCGTTCCCTTCAGAGAAGTTACGGGCAGGTGGTTCGGTCGGGTTGAATATCGGGGGCACCAGTCAGGTCCACCTGCAGTCTTGGTGGTCAACTTAGAACCCTCTCTCGCATCCTTCCTCCATCCGCACTTGTTGCTCGAAGGGCCTCTGGAGTTTGCATTGGTAAAAGTAACCCTTGCTTGTCTTATTAAAAATCTGTATTTAGTTTTCTGAAGCGAATCCCCAATGTTAAAGGCAAGTTTGTGGGAATCTTCAGAAAGCTATACAGGCCTTTCCGTCTGTTTGTGCAAGTTTGGTTCACCATCAGTTGACCTTTGGTAACCTTACACATTATAGGATGGATAATTAAATAATTTAGGTTGTGATTAAAAGAGCCTTTAAATAGTCTTTTGTAGAAATAATTGTAGAAAAAGATTAGAACTATTCTTGAGGTAAGGGAGGCTAATATTTGTCCACTTACCTGCTGAAATACTGCCCAGGCAGAAGACATCTGAGCATGAGTGGGAGAGCTTTTGATGTCATGTCAGCAAGACTCATGCCATTATTGCATCTTCAATTGTTATGTCTTCAGTGGGCCCCTGTACTGCTTTCATCATTTGTACAGCATGGGTTGAGGTGGCCACATCCTGGCAGGGGTCTCAGGTCCACTAATAGCTGAAGCATGTTGGGGTTTGAATGTTGGATGCTCTGAAGTTGTCATATCCTGTCTGATGCCTTCCCAGAACGGCAGTAGTTGGTCGAGTATGCCACAGGTTATCTGGTTGGGTAATCTGAGATTAGCTTTCCTAACGTTAACTTTGAAATTTTCACATATTTAATGATTAGAAATTAGTGAAGTACATTATTTTAACTGAAATATTTTATGTGAAACTAAAAAGAATCCCATTCACTGTTCCAACAGTATTCAATACAGTTTATTAACTCACCAGATGAAATGATGTAGCTGTTTGCAACTTTATTTTTAACTTTGTCCCATGGATTTCTCTGAGATTAATTTTAGGGCTCTTCATTGTGATCTTTTGCTTTGTTACTCCTTTTTGTCAGTCATGAACTACCTTCCCTTCCCCCCATCCCTCTGTGAGTTGCTGTAACACTGGATCAGTATTTGACTTATTCTGTACCACAGGATGGTCAACAGACTTATCGTTTTTCTCTGGACTTTGAAACACTCTTGATCTTTGAACCCGAATATTGAATATATTCCAAGAACGTCTTCATTTAATTTTATAGTGTGGTCTACTTTCAATAAAAGATCGCAAAGTAGAGGTTTTTATGCTTCTTGTTTGGTGATTTGTTTCCTGGAGAATTTGAAGTTGTTCTATAGCTTTCAGTGACAGTATTCTGCCATCTGATCCCAACAGCAACCACACCGTTATCCTTCCAGGCTGAAGTGCTTTCTTTCTGGGGTTTTGCTGCGTTCTGTTTACAAACAGTATTGTGAGAGAATACCTTTTCTTACAGGATGGTTCATGAAATTTAAAAAGATGTCTTAAGAAATGGGCGCTGCCACTTGTCTTTTAAACCAAAATTAAGGTTCATGCAAGTTGGTTACTGATTTAAGAAAGAGGTTAAGTAAGGTTAGTTCTTGTAAGGAGAAAGTCTCATGGGGTGGAATTGGCAGTCTTGTCTTTGGAGAAAAAAATCCAGGCTGTAGGGAAAGGCATTTTCGTGGTGTTATTTCTGTACCCTGTTGTGCAGGGTTTCTTAGCTAGGCTGAGGCATTTTAAAATTGAAATAGCCTCTCACGAATCATATTCTGTTTGGCAAGGAGGGGATGTTCTTCAGAGCAGCTGCCAAAGAGCCCTTTTGACAGTGCCAACTTCAAACTGCTTGGCTCTAAATGAAGTTTCAAGGAATCATAAAGCTCCCACATGGGAGCTGTAAAAGCCCTCGGTTTCTAGTTGGAGATCTTAACATTTCCATGGCTGTTTTGAACAGATTTACAAAATTTCTCTTTATTTCCAAATATCTCAATTTCTATTTCTGTCTCATTTTCTTCCAGCAATTCTCCCACTTAGTGACAAAGTTATAGAATTAAATCTGTTTCTTTTCCTCTTCATTTGTATCTCCATACACTGTGTACAGCATTTAGCATTCTTTTGATGGATGTGTGTAGGGTAGGGGAGTAAGAGAGGTTGTTTGCAATAAATGTTTCAAGCCAAGATGCTTGGGGTTGATAATTTAGCTTTTATTTTTTTTTTTTACACTTTCTAGAGTATTTGTAAGTAGACTAAGATCTTCCTGAAATTTCACTTTTAAAATCAGTATTGAAAGTTCTGAATTCTAATAATGAAGTCACATATTAAAGGCTTAACTTATATGGGAGAGAATACTTGTACATGTTTATTTGGTCTCTCTAGGAAGAAAACCTGCTGTATATATATGCCACTTTAGTCTGTGTTTAGGTACATGACACATCTTCATCTTTTGTATTCTTGAAAGACAGTTTTGGAGGGTTGTCTGTAAAAAAGAACAGAATGGGTTTAAAAGCTCAAAGTACTAAATTTAAAGTTTATGTAGGGCTGGCCGGTATCTCAGTTGGTTAGAGCATGGTGTTGTAACATCAAGATCAAGGGTTCAGATCCCTGCACTGGCCAGCCACAAAAACAACAACAAAACAAACGAAAATAAAGTTTATGTAGCTTCTGACCCTTAAGATGAAGAAGTGTATTTTTCTAATGTATATAGTTATTTAAGGTATGAATTTATAGTATTTCATTTAAATTTTGTTGTCTTTGTGTTTCAGTATGAAAACCCGTGGACAATCCCAAATATGTTATCAATGACGAGAATTGGCTTGGCCCCAGTTTTGGGCTATTTGATTATTGAAGAAGATTTTAATATTGCACTAGGAGTTTTTGCTTTAGCTGGGCTAACTGATTTGGTAAGTTGTAAATGCACTCTTGTTTTGCTCCTCTTTCAAACCCCAGGGTCTCTTTTACTGCACTAAAATAGCACAGCCTTAGTTTGCTTTTCCTTGGACAGAAATCTTCAGGATGAATTTGACCTAGAATTTTGTGTAAGGACTTGTATTAGCATCTGTGTAGGACTCTGTTTTTCTGTATATGATCTAAGTGAAGGTTGTAAAGAGGCATAGGAGTGGGTGCTTTTTACTCTTGGTTTTTAACTTCTTTGTGAAAGAAACACCCTTTGAAATTCCTAAAGAGCTGAGTGCTTGCTTTAGGGATAGAAACAAAGGAGAGAAGCTGTGAGGCTATTTTTCTTTTTATTCTGATAGAGAGAATACTCTGATCTGCAACAAGAATTGGTTTTCCTGGTAGAGGGGGAAACAATGGACTGGTTGTTATGACCCAGGGAACTGGGATGTGACTAGGGAGCTTCTAGAGGCCATAGCTCTGCTCGGGTTTAATGCTAGCAGGAGGCTGTGGGGTACCCCCAGATCCAGTCCCTGTTCTCTGCTCCACACCCATGACTGCCTTGTAGAAGACCCTGACATGGACATTGGGCATCTTACCTTCTGCTTCTTCAGCAGATGGACAAAGGAGAGAAGAGCTCCTTAATACCATTGTGTTAATTTTGGGGGAGAGGAAGTTTTATTTGGGTGATCTTAAATTAGAATTGGGAAATAATTTTGTAATAGAAGAGGCTATATTATGTGTTAAATAGGCTTTTGTGGACTGGGCAGCCATTATCATGTATGACATTATATGTATTTATCATCCACCTTGTTTCACAAAGGATTTGAAATGGCTTATAATAAAACTATACCCCTACAAAAACACAGTTGTAGGAAGTGGGGGAAAGGTAGAGGAAAAATTTTAAATCAGAGCAAAGTTAGTATGTGGAAATAGATACAATACATTCTTCTACAAGGCTGGTCTGAGATCTATGTGAGCACCCAGAGAGGCAGTAATGATTTGATGCCTCTTCAAACTGATTTATGTTTGAAAAGCTTTGCTCAATATTTATTTAGTGAGAATAGAGAGAAGCTAATTTTCTATTAATAATAGTTGTATAGCATCTTTTTTTGTAACATCATCTATTCCCTTTGAGGTTCATATAAACAAATTTCCATCTGTCCAGTAGCAGCAGTAGTTTGGTGAGCAATGTAGAATTAAGTGAAGATTTTGGAGAATAAGCAAAGGAGAGCATTTGCATTATTATGTGACATTTGCAAACATGCATCAAATATCGCCTCTCAAATTCATTCTTGCCTCTCTTTTTCCAGAGTTTAGCTCTGCTTGTCACCACCTCCACCCATTCTCACAATTTCTTTCCTTTTGTCCCTGCTTTTATCTCTGAAACCTGAAGGCCTTCACTTGTTATTGATATGGTCTCCAGGTCTGTCAGAGGCCATTATACTGATAATGAAATTTTTTTTTACATAACAGACAAGATTGTTTTCAGTTATTGGATTCACCTTTTTTGTTTGTTAGTTGTTTCGTTTTAGCTGCCACATGAGTTTGCAATAATCACTGAATGGGAGAGAGGCCACATTGACATTTTTATAAAAATGTAAGATGATGTGTGTGGAATCTTGAGTTAACTGGTACCATATTTCACATTTATTCCATAGAGGTTTTGATGTCCCTAGATGGCTGGACTCATCAGGTGAAGCAGGGGAATGACAAGGTCTCGGTGTTGTGTGTGAGAAATGGGAAGGCAAGAGTAGAAGCAGAGTAACTGGTTAGGAGGCTTAGAGTAACCTCAGAGAGTGATGGTAGTAACTTGGACTGGGTGGAAGTTTGGAGTTGGAGAGAAGTGAACAGGCTTGGGATGTGTTTTGAAGATAGAGTTAATATGTTGATGGATTAGATATGTGGAGTAAGAGAAGGAAGAGTCAAACATGAATTCTGGGCTGTTACTTTTTTTGTGTTTCTTTTCAAAAACCATGTGCATGGAGGTTAGCATTTTCTGTGATGTGCAACACTTGGTGTAGGATAGTGTTTGGGGAAAACATACTAAGAATTCTGATTCCTGTTCACATAGAGGGTGAGTGTAGTAGTTTGGAGTTAGAGGAAGTTATCATTACTGAGGTACAGATTTAGAGGCTATCAGATACAGGTAGTCTAGTTGAAATCATCTGGGCTGAGTTAAAAGAAGAGAAATGGGGGATCAGAGAAATGAGCAAGAAGTAGAGCAGTGGAGAAGAAGCCAGTAAAGGATGCAGAGAAGGAATAGCTGGTGAGGAAGGAAGAAAATCAGGCAATGAGGTGTCCCAGAGGGTAAGTAAAGAAAGTGCCTCAGTTGTGTTGAGGGCACGTAACCTAACTACAGAATTCATTGATGACATTATGAGCATCATCTCTGGAGGGGTAGGGACCCCTGGAGTGGGTTGATGAGCAAATGGGAGGTGCTGGTGACAATGTACATTGTTTTGAGGAAGTTTTGCTTTGTAAGGGAATATAGAAATAGGATCAATGAAGGGTAATTTTTAAGATATACTAGGAGGATTTTTGTTGTTAATTAATTAAATGATCAGGTAGAAAGGGAGAGATTGATGATTCAGGGGAGGTGGAGAAGGAGGGAGGCAAGTCACCGAAGGTGAGAGGCATAGGATCAGGGATCAGGGAAGGCAGAGAATGTGAATGGGCGCCGGGAGGTGGATTTGGTGATGGAAATATCAGGAGGTGCTGTTAATCTTTTTCTTTTTTCTCAAGGAAAATATAGATATGGTCATGAGTGAGAGGGTTAAGGAGGGATGGGAGGGGGTCTGAGGTGAGAGCAGACAGTGTGAAAGGAGAAGGTAAACATAGTAGGCAGGCGTAGGATTGCCAGGCAGTATAGAGTGCCCACAGATTGTGGTCATGGATTTGAAGTGAGACCTATCAGACCATTTATGTGTTTTTCTTGAGCAGTGTTAGCTGCTTGAGTGTAGGTTTGGAGTTCCTGGATAATTGTGTTTAAGCAGGGTTGAAGGAGAGTGGAGTAAGGGAGTTACAGATGTTTGCAAAGGACTGATGATGTTGGTGACCTTGGAATCTAATGGGTCAAGGAATAGTGAGGACGAGAGGGTGATGATGGTGATGTGAAGTTCCGTGAGATCAGAACCCTGAGCTCAGAGAACTTGAAGCCGGGATCTTGAAAGGTCTCAGCTCTCCATTCTAGGTACTTTCTGTTAAACATCATCATCTCTATTATACTTACAAAATAGATTCCTTCAGTTGCGATAGTAATAGCTAATAACTGCGTTTTTTGAACTACTAAGTGCTGAGTGCTGAACAAGTATTAATCACATTATGTACTGAAGAAAACCAACCCTTTGAGGTAGGTAATGTTATCTTTTTTTTACAGATGAGGAAACTAAGGCTTAGAGAGGCCAAATAACTTGTCCAAGGTCACTGCTTGAAAGTGCAGAGCTAGGACTTGAACCAGTTCTGTTCTGCTCCTAAGACCAAGTTTTTAACCACTGTCCTGTGCTACTGCTGTAAAATGTCCCATGTTTAACTACACCTTAATTAACTTAATTTTTTTCCGTAGAAATAAGAATAGAAAATTAAAACATTTGTCAATGCTCGAATAAGCCAGGTAGGGACTTGGATAAATCAGAAAATATCTTCCTGTTTAATGTGGATAGGCCATACTTGGTTTCAGTCCATGTCGTGGCACCAGGATGGCTGGATCTTTCCCTTTCTCAAGTTAGGCTGGAGATTGGGGTTTTTATGGGAGTATTTTGAACATTTAAATATTGGCAACTAATTATAATTTTTAAAAGCTCTGGCAGATCAAACAAAACCAGCCTGCAGGCCCCATTTGGCCCACTAGCAACTAGGTATGACCTGTGCTTTAAATTATACTTTGCTTGTGTTGAAAATAAGTAATTTAAATATAGTATCGGAATTTTAACTAGACCAGGTACAGAGGATTGAGTTTTTTATTCAAGTATAGGTAATGCAGATACAGGCAGAAAATGTAATTAACAGTGGTACTGAACAAAATGAATTGAAAAATAGTAAGTTACAATATAGAGAGTTGGATCAAATTATGGAAAGGTAGGTAGGGATTGTGAAAGTTTAGCATCTCACAGTAAAGAGTAGTCTTGGTGAGTAATAAGTGAAAATAGCCCAAGGCTCAAAAGATGGGGCTCCCAGTCCAGGCTTTGACAGACATGCATGCTGTGAGTTTGTTTAGGTTCTTTACACCTCTAAATTTGTGTCTGGGTTCATCCTGCAAAGAGACATTGTCAAAATATTGAGAAATAACCGAAAGGCCTTGAGAAACAAAGAGTTCTATAGAAATGTGAAATTATTTTCAGACCAGTTGCTAATTTAAGAGCTAAATGTATACAAGGGTACTTTAAAAAGTTTGTGGAAAAATAGAATTAAACAATAATACGAATCTTTCCATGAGCTTTTTGAAGACCCCTTCCTTGTACCAGTGAAAGAATGAGAACGTTTGGAGGAAAAAAACAGGAGATTTTGTTAACATTTTATGAAAAAATAGTTGTTATGCTGGTATCTCTTAAGCTTAAAGTTATCTATTCTGTTCCTATTATGACATTTATAAAAAAAAAAAACTTCTATTTTCAGTTGGATGGATTTATTGCTCGAAACTGGGCCAATCAAAAATCAGCTTTGGGAAGTGCTCTTGATCCACTTGCTGATAAAATACTTATCAGTATCTTATATGTTAGCTTGACCTATGCAGATCTTATTCCAGGTAAGAACGCCATCATGCGTACTTTTAAATAGCACGGAGAAGAATGACATTAGTCAGTTTAGGATTTCTCTTGAGAGACAAATAATTTTTCTTCCCAAAATATATTTTTTTTAACTTTAAACTGTTTCCCTAATTTTAAACTGTTTTGCTTGTCAAGCTATTTGTATTAGAATTTATGTCCTTGTTATACTAGTAGAATCGGTTGTTTTTGTAGTAAGATTGTTTAAAATTAAAATTGAGAAGATATTTCACAATGCCAATTCATACTACTCTAGAATCTTGGTTCTATATTATTTATTTTTAGTGCCTAGCTTTTTGAAAGCAGTTTAAAGTTTTCCTAAGTCTATTACCATCTTTATTAAGTACAGTTTAATCATAAGGAGAACTCTGAAATCTGGAGATTTTTGTAAAATTTCACATTATTATTGTTGTTCATACACTATTATGTAATTTTTAAATTGTATGTGTAGTTTGTAAATTATCAAAATATTCTTTCTAATAAAATTTTGTGATCTTTTGCTTTGTTTTTTCATGTGCTTTTCTGGTTGTTCATTTTCTACTTTAGCTATATTTCTCAATCAGTTTTTTTCCCTCAGTCCAGATTAAACTGTTTTCTTCCCGCAAGAGTTAGACATAGGATCTGAGAACAAAGAAGCTGCCATGTGCTCCTTCAGTCTCATGTTGTTATGGACATTTGTAGGAGGAAGTGTAAGTGGCATTTCAGTCTAGTGTAGTCTCCTCAAGCTGGAAATTCTTCACCTTTTGTCTTCTCAGTTCTCATATCAAATTAAAAAAATTGGACAAATGTTTATATTTATGTGCTTCTTAGAAAGTTAAAATTGAGGTGTGTTTATTTGAAGGGGCAGGGGTCCTCTCATTCTAATGAGTATAAGTAATTTTTAGGAAAAAGCCTATAGAGCATTCTGTTGATATTACTCAAAATTCAAATGATCTTTTTAAAAGTGTGTGTGTATTCATACTTCCCATTTTTCAGGGTTACATTGTATTTTGTTGTGGTGTTTTACAAAAGTTGGCCAGGTCATTTTCTGTTGAACATAGAAATTGTTTCCAGGTTTTGGGTATTATGGAAAATGTTGCTGTGAGCTTTAGTTAAATAATTGGTGTATATTGCTTTCCAAGCTGAGCCATCCCTTCACTATCATTCTGGAGGGTTCCATTTTCTCTCTTCTGTGTTGGGTCTCTTTTTCCAGGCTGCCATGTCTTCCTTTTTTTTAAGGTAGTCCTTTTGGTGGAGTGCATCCCAATTTTCCATAGAATGATGCAGTATGGCAGCCAAATTTTAGAGATCTTGGACAGCTAAAATGTCTACATTCTACTCTCCATACTTGATTGACAGTTGGACTGGGCATAATTTTTCAATTGCAGACTGTTTTCACTCAGAATTTTGAAGCCCTGTTCCATAGACTTCCAGATTCCATCTGGCTGTGGAGAACTCTCATGCCATTCTGATTCCATTTTTTTAATAGGTGAGTGTGTTTTGTACTAGAAAGCTTTGAAGTTTTTTTTACATTATTCCTACTTCATGTTTTAAAAAAATTTTTCTTTTAAAAATTTATTTTCTAACTGCTTATATGGATACTCAGTTATCCCAGCACTTTTTATTGAAAAGTATGTGTTTTCCAGACTCACTGCAATGTTCATATACACATGGGTCCATTTTTGGTTGTCTGTTTTTTTCCCCATTGTTTTGTTTATCTTTGTACCAGTACCACTCTTAACTGTTGCTTTGCAATATTGATTTTCTAATGTTAAAACAACCTGCAATTCTTGGTATAAATCTAACATGGCCATGATACATTATGAAGGTATAGCTGGATTTGGTTTGTTTACATTTTGTTGAAGATTTCACATCTAGATTCACGAGATTGGCCTGGAATTCTCTACTCCAAATACCCTTGTTAGGTTTTAGTATCATATTTATAATTAGCCTCATAAAATGAGTTAGGGACTGATTTTTCTTTTCTTTCCATTCTTGGGAGATGTTTGTCAGTGATTGCAATTATTTACATTTTAAATGTTTGGTAGAATTTGTTGAAGACATTTAGGGCCTAGAGTTTTCTTTGGGGGAGAGTTTTAAAATAGTTGATTCATTTTCTTTAATTGTTATAGGATGATTCAAGTTTAATAGTTCATCTTTTGGCCATTTTGTAAGTTGTGATGTTTTTCTAGGAATTTGTTCATCTACATTATAAAAAAATCTATCACAAGCTATTTATAGTATCCTCATTAACTTTTTGATGTCTGTAGGATATGTAGTAATGTCCTTTTCATCTTAATTATTTGTCCCTTTCTTGATCAGTTTTGCCAGAGGTTTGTCAGTTTTATGGATCTTTTCAAAGAACTATCTTTGGGTTTTGTTGAGCCTCTCTGATATGTTGTTTTCTACTTCATTAAATTTTACTCTTTTATTTCTTTGATGTCCTTTTTCTAAATTCTTTAGAAGAATTCTTTGAATTAGAAATAAAATGGGAGGCCACATATATAATTAAAATTTTTCAAGTAGCTATATTAAAAATAAGAGGAAACAGATGGAAATAATTTTATTGATATATTGTGTTTAACCCACCATATCAAAAATATTGTCATCCTAATTTGTAATCGATAAAAAATTATTAATGAGTTTTTTTCATACTAATGCCTTCAAAATCAGACTAGCCACATTTCAAGTGCTTAATAGCCACATGTGGGAAGTGGCTATTATATTGAACACTGCAACTATAGATGGACACCTAACTCATTGCCTTTCAGATTTTCTTTTCTAAAGTTTGCATGTAAGGCTATACATTTTTCTCTAAGTATTACTTTTGTTGCTTCTTGTATATTGATATTGACATTTTTGTCATTGTCCAGTATGGAATATTTTCCTATTTCCATTAGGTTTCTTTCTTTGACCTATTTGGATAATAAGTATTTCTTAATTTGTTGTCAGTTTGTGGGGGTTTTCTAGTTATCTTTTGCTGTTGATTTCAAGCATAATTACTTTGTGTTTAGAGAACATACTCTGTGATTTCAACCTTTCAGCCTACAATGTACAGTGTACAGTCAAATTTTACAAGCATTTCACAGTGCCTCAAATGAATATACTGCAGTGTTTGGGTGTGATGTTCGGTATGTATGTATGTTAGGTCAAGTTTTTAATCCTGCTGTTAAATCTTCTATTTCTTTACTCCTTTTCTTTCTTTTTTTTTTTTTTTCCCCTTTTGGTCTGCTTATTCTATCAATTACTGAGGGAGTGGGTTAAAGTTTCCTACTGTGTCCAGTTTTCTATTATTTTTCTTTGTAGTTTTTTGCTTTATATCTTTTGAGGTCATGCTATTAAGTGCATGTAAAATAGAATTGTTGTATCTGGTCGGTGAATTGAATGTTTTATTATAAAGTGATCCTCTATGTTTCTAGTAATGATTTTTGCCTTAAAGTTTCTTTTTTTTGGATATTATTATAGCTATACTAGCTTACTTTTGTCTAGTGTTTGCATGATAAGTCATCTACTTTCAACATTCCTGTATCTTTAATTTTTGGATATCACTTGTAAAGAACATATACATGGGTTTTCTTTATTTTATCCAGTCTAATGATTTACCTTTTAATTGAAACATTTAACCCATTAACATTTACTGTGATTACTAATGTATGTGTCTCAGTCTTCCATTTTACTTTAAGTGGTTTTTTTGGCACATATGTTCTGTCCTATTTTTGTATATATTTTGTATCGTATTTTCTTTGCACCAGTTTGAAAGTTTTACGTTCTATTTTTATTTAATTTTCCTCAATATTATAACATTCTTCCTTATCAAAGTTTAATGTTAACAATTGTATACTCTTGCAGAGCCTTGGAAAGACCTTAGGATACTTTAGCTCTAATTCCTCTCTCAGCTTAGGTAGTTGTTGTTATACTTTACTTTTATATATTTCTTTAGCCCACAAGATATTATTGTTTATACAGTCAGTGTTCATTTAGATTTATCTTCATATATGCTACTTTTTTTCTAGTCAGTCTTGTTTGATATATTTCAGACTTTTCATCAGCAATCATTTTCCTTTTTTCTGAAGTATTTTCTTTTGAAATTCTTTTTAATATAGGTCTGTTGATAAATTCTCCTTTTTCTTCCTCTGGAAAGATTTTTTTTTTTTTTTTTTAATTCTTGAGGGATATTTTTGTTGAGTTTAGAATTCTGGTTTGGCAGTTATTGTCTTTTAGCACATTTAAGATATCATTCAATTGTCTTCTCACTTCCACTGTTGATAATAAGAAATCAGCTCTTACTCCGTTCCTTTTTTTCTTTTTTTTTTTGGAAGGCAGTCTTTTTCTTCTGGCTATTTTTAAGATTTCCTTTGTCTTTGGTTTTCTGCAATTTCACAATAGTACTTCTTGGTATGAGTTTCTTTTTTATTGATCCTGCTTGGGATTTATTGGACTTTTTAATCTGTGGATTAATATCCTTAAATCAGTGTCAGAAAATTCTCAGCCACAATCTCTTCAGATATTCCTGTTGCCTATTCTTTCTCTTCTTTTGGGACTGCAATATGAGGGGGCCTTCAAGAAGTTCATGGAAATATTCATATTATCTTCTTCTTTTTTTTTTTTTTCCTTTTTGTCTTTTTTCGTGTCCGGCAACGGATCGCAACCCTCAGTGTCGCGCCCGTACCGGACCAGGACCAGCAACGGGATCGCAACCCTTGGTGCTGCGCCCGCACCTCGCTCAGCCAGTGAGTGGGAACCGGTCTGTATGTGGGATCCGAACCCTCAGCGGGAGCGCCGCCGCGCTCCCAAGCGGCGCACTGTAGCAGTGTGCCACTGGGCTGGCCCCATATTATCTTCTAATTTCATTTTTCCATGAGCTTTTTGAAGTACTCTGTATACCTATATTAGACCTTCTTACTGTATCCTGTAAATCTCAGACTTTTTTTTTTGTATGTCAGCTCATTTTATCTTTCTGGGCTTCATTTTGGGTAATTACAAATGAGTATACTATTTTTCATTTTACTAATTCTCTCTTCTGCTTTGCTGAATCCCTTTAATTCTACTATTGTATTCTCCAGATATAGAATCTCTATTTTATTCTTCAGACTTGCTAAGTCATCTTAGTTTTCAGTTTCTTGCTGAAATTTTTCAATTTTGGCTTTTATTCCTTTGAATTTAGTAAACTTAGTTGTTTTATAAACTCTGATAATTCCAAAGTCACATCTTATGGTGGTCTCTTTTATTTGTCTGCTGTTTCTTTTGATTTTTACTCATGGTACTTGATTCTTGGTAATTTTTGACTCTTTAGATATTGTATTGATACTTGGAAAATAATTTGGAGGAATATTTTGATGCCTAGGAAGATGGCATGACTCTCCAGAGAAGATTTTTGTTCAATTCTGCCAGGCACTTAGGAATGCTAGCAGTCTGGGTCCACCTAGACCACCATGTCATGAGACATTCTTGGAAAGCTTTTCCTTGGGCCATGTCTTCCCTCAACCCTGTGGGAATAATCATTCAGTTCCTAGCTCAAAGCTAGGAGTTGGTTTATCAGAGCCCAACTTTAAGGGCTCTAGACTTCAACTACTGTCCTCAAAGTCCAACGAGGCTGCTCAAGGCTCAGTTCACTTTTGAGTTGCTTCCTTAGGACTGGGAATAGTGACTTTGAGTGTCTGGGCTTATTTTGCTGAGTTCTTACTTTTTAGCAGGTATTAGCCTAATACTTTCTTAGCATCTTGTAAGTCTTTCGTTTCCACGATCTTTTTTTTTTTTTTTCCTTTTTGTCTTTTTTCGTGACCGGTAACGGGATCGCAACCCTCGGTGTCGCGCCTGCACCGCGCTCAACCAGTGAGCGGACCGGTCTCTATATGGGATCCGAACCCTCGGTGGGAGCGCCACTGCACTCTACCGAGTGCGCCACCGGGCCGGCCCACAATCTTTTTTTTTTAATCTTCTTCTTTGGTTGTTTTAGTGGTAGTGTTCTGAATTACCTAGTCAAATATTAATGGAAGCTGACCCTGAGTATCTGTTCATTATCCTTGTAGTTCTAAAATTTTACAGTGATATATGGCCTGGATTCTACTATAGTTTAGTGTGAGTCTTTCTTTCATTGCGCTGGGTACTAAGTAGGCCTCTTCAGTCTGAAAACTCGTTCTTTAATTCTGAAAGTCTTATTACATTTTTGATAATTTTCTGTCTTGTTTTCTTGGTTCTCTCTGAAATTCTTGATCATAATTGAGTTTTCATGGATTGATTCTCTTTTTTCTCCTATTTTATTTTCTAAACTTTTCCTTTTTTTAGGAGATTTCCACAGCTTTGTCATTTACCCCTTATGTTGACATTTGTATTGCTATCACTTGAATTTTCAAGAGCTCATGTTCTTTGCGTTTGTTGTTTTTAAAAAAGTGTTCCATTCTTATTTCATGGATGAGTGCATCATTTAAGACATCTGTCTATACATACATTTTTTTTTTTATCCCTATATTACATGTTTCTTTCTAATTGTATTTTTTTTCTGTTTTGGCCTCTCATGATGGAGACTTTGAAATGTCTGGTGATCCTTGGCTACTTATATTTGAGTGAGGCATAGAAAGTTCATTGGGAACTCTCTGGGCATTGGCCAAACTTGTTGGGTGGTGTGCTTCTCCATAGGATGAACATGCTGGGACCTGGCTGTTGAGGTGCAGGGCCATGAGTTCTTTGTACCTTTGTATAGATCTGTGCTATAGATCTCAGCTCTAATCCCACTTCACTTCAGTGACCCCTAGGTTCAGAGTAACATGTAGATTGGAGGTTGGCAAACTTTTTCTATCAAGGGCCAGATAGTAAATATTTCAGGCTTTCTGGGCTGTGTGGTTTCTGTCATAGCTACTCAGCTATGCTATTATAGTGTGAAAGCAGCCATAGAAAATAAATAAATTAATTAGCATGACTTTGTTCCAATAAAACTTCACTTATGGACATTGGAAATTGAACTTCAGAGAATTTCATGTGTCATGAAATATTACTCTTGATATTTTTTTTCACTAACCATTTAAAAATGTAAAAACCACTCTTAGCTTTAGGGAGCTGCAGCCCTAGTGCAGAGATCTAGTGGACAGATGTAAGGGAGGGCTCAGCAGGCAGGGGTCTAACTGCTCTTTCTAGGGACTTTCTGGGTTTCTCTGGTGAGAATTGGCCTGCTTCTTGTGGGCATCCCTTTTGAAGGACTTAGGTTTTGGCTCTCTCTACCCTAACACTAATAAACTTAATGAAAACATTGAAATATTCTCTGCTACCCATTCTCTTTGTGACTTTATATCCTTTCATTTTTTTTACTGTCATTTTTAGAGGGGTTTTAGATAGTAGAGAGATGCATATATGCAGTCTTGCATGTTCTTACTTTAAATTGCATTTTTAAAGTCACATAACCTTGACTTTAATAGCCTTATTTTCTTTAAGAATGAAAAATTTGCTTTCTTCCTTAGCTAGAATAATCAATCATTTTGCTTTTCTTCTTGCTGTTTTTATTGGAGAAGGATGAAAATAAATTTGTTGACTTCTTACATACATTAGAGTATGAAGTGTGAATCTAAGTTAATTTCTACTTGCTTGTGTGCATTTGTTCTGCCATGTTTATATTATTTTTGGTTTGCCATATGGTACTTTCTTATTTCGTGTTTAAATCAATCTCTAGGATAATTATTATGTTAAATTTATTGTTTTCAATGCAAAAATCTATGATATTGATGTTGACCAATTTAAATATGTAAAAGTGAGTTGGTTTTATGAAATATTTCCCTTTATTGCTAATAAAATTTGCGCACGATCTACCTCCTTGTTGCAAACATTCTCTGTTTCAGACAGAGTTAGCAAGTAGGGAGTAAAACTTTGGAGCAGTCCCTGACACACTTTACACTGTCCTACCCACTACTAACACACTTTGTCATACTCTAGTAGGCAAAATGAAAGTTGCTTTAAGTCTTGGGAGAAAAGAGAGGGAGGGCTAAGAGAGAAAGCAGGAAGATGCGAGGGCCAGCCCCGTGACTCACGCTGGTGAGTGCTGCACTCCCGCCGTGGGTTCGGATCCTATATAGGGATGGCCGGTGTGCTCACTGGCTGAGCGCGGTGCGGACGACACCAACCCAAGGGTTGCGATCCCCTTACTGGTCACAAAAAAAAAAAAGAAAGAAAGAAAGAAGATGCGAGAGCCAAGGAACTGGATAAAATTGCCCAAAGATCCACAGTAGAAGGCCAGATACTGTCAGTTGGTAGAGGCCTTTGAGACCATCTGGTGTAGCTAGGTCCCAGCCTAACTACGCGTGTGAAAGTTACCCAGTGAGCTTTCACCTGTGCTTTATGAAGCTCTCCTGAGGTGATTTTTGAATGGTGGTTTTTAGTTTGGGGAACCCTTAATTTTGTTAATAGCGCTTTTCACCATCAGACTACTACGGATGGTAAACTGAGTCCAGAGTTGCTAATTGCTAGGTCACACTGCTAGATTGGAGCTTAATGCACTGTCCCAAGCCTAGTCTATGAATTCCATAGACCTGTGTTCCTGCGTATGTGCGGACTTGCATGTTCCTCATGTTTACATGGGTTTTAATTTGCATGGGTTTGCTTCATTTTAAAAGTGTGATTTTTTTGTTAGATTTTGCCAGCTAATGATTCCTACAGAAAAGTTTCTTTTAAAGGTATGAAAATGCTCCTAAAAATCATGGCTCTCTGTTTTCTTGCTTGGCTTATACATGTGTAGTAGGCATGTCTCTGTTTACTCCATATGCCATGACTGGAGTGGATAAGCATTATCTCTTTGGAATAATGTTGTCATCGAGGATTAGGCCACGGATCAACACTGACATCATAACTGTGACCAGCAGAGATTTAAATTTTAAATCTGTAATTAATTAGATTATGTTGTAAATTGCAGAGCCAGTAGAATTTCAGAACTGGAGAAAACCTTAAGTACAGCCTCCAAATAATTCATAAAAGAATTGTTTGAAAGTATTATGGAAGGGATATGCATGATCCTTTTATTTTAGTACTTGGAACAATTTGAACTGAGTATTTTTGAACTCAGGATCTTTTTCTCTTTTTGAAAAAAGTGGTTTTTTTCTTATAAAAGATACACGTTCATGGGTAAAACTTTGTACAGTGCGGAGGATATAAAGTGAAACAAGTTCTCTGCCCTCTCGTTCTTATTCAGCAATAGAGTAGGGTTCCATGGATATCCATCTAAAATATCCTTCTGTAGATGGCTCCAGGATCATGCTGTAAAATCTGAGGAATAATGAGAAAACTATTGACAAGTTGAATTCATTGAATGACTGAGCAGGGAGAAAAATAGTGGTTGCCTTAGTAGGAACTGGCTGGACAAAAATGAAAATATTTTTGTTTCTCTACAAGTTGTACATGTAGCAAATTTTTCAGAGAATAGTCTAAAATGCAGAAGCAAGCAATCAAAGCTCCTGTGACTCCAGAATAGATTGATTCTTCTGGCATTTTTCTTAACCTCTTTGTTCTCTCTTTCCATGTAGTTCTAATGAGCATGGTGATCTTTTTTCCATGCTCACAAAGCTAGGAAATAACAAAAGAGGAGATGGGGGGTTGAGGGTGTGGGAGCTCAGTAGAGCTGACACCAATAACTGCAAAGATTTATAGCTTAAAAACATATGCAAGAAAAACAAAACAAGAGGGGAGAGAGGATCAACATCTTGAAAGGCAGACATAGATTTCTGAAGCCATAGTCTGTTCTTCACTTTTTATTGAGGGCAAGTTAAAGAAGAATATAAAAATCAGTGGTTCACTATGGGGACCCTAAACCATCAATAAGTGTTTGTTATAAACTTTTCACATATGGGAAACACCAGTTTATGGTAAGGCTGAATGAGGCTTTATTGTATTCATAATGTCTAATCCCAATTAAAACTATTTTGTATTTAACTTTCAGTTCCGCTTACTTATATGATAATTTCAAGGGATGTAATGTTGATTGCTGCTGTTTTTTATGTCAGATATAGAACTCTTCCAACACCGGTGAGTTTGTTTCAAAAAAATATTCTTTTAGTCATTAAAATATTCTTTTAGTCATTACTTATGATTTAGGGAAAAATATTATTTTTTTTAACTCAAATATTCTTTTAGTCATTAAAGTATTCTTTTCTTCATTGCTTATTGTGGCAAGAAAAAAAGAAAATAAAGTTTTCTCTGTATGTTGTTTGACCGTATGGGAATAATTTATGGCAATTGTTTTCTGATCCACGTATCAGGAATTTTTAAAAAGTAACTATCTTGCTATTTGAATCACCCACTAGGGTAGTTTAGTGAATATATGAATAGTCAATTTTAAAAAAGGTATGTTTCTGTTTTAAGTCAAACTCTTTTCAATTGATGGAATTTGAATCCCAGACCAGCTAGCTCCCATCCGTAGCGCAAACTGTTAGTGTGTTTTGCATGGATTCAAGCTATGTTGCTGTCTAATTTAGACTCTATGGATTGTCTGAAATTGGTTTTTATTTTTTATGGTGGCTGGCCAGTTTGGGGATCTGAACCTATGACCTTGGTATTACAAGGCTGTGCTCTAACCAAAAGAGCTACCCGGCCAGTCCTGAAATTGGTTTTTAAAATCAGTTGTACAAGCATGGGCTTGCCTTATGCATTTGTTCAGTGGTTCTATAAATATTTGAGCATGTAAGCAAGCATAGCATAATAACCTCTTCTGGTTCCCAGTCCAGTGAAAATAGAGCAGTATTTCATTCATTTTGGTTTTTTAACCTATGAAAAATAGTGATAAGGAAGTTTTATTGAGTGTATATAGTAAAAAGATGGAGCAAGCAGATTTTATGATAGCTATTTGGTGTTAGAATTTTATAGGAATTGAGAAATAAATCTATAAGTAAAAAAACAATTTTCAATAGTCTTTGTGTGATTTATAAAGAATGTGGATATTACTCATTTAGCATAATAAAGATGACGCATATAAAGGACTAATATAGCATGGGGCCAGGCATACAGTAAGCACTCAGTAACTGGTACCTACATATAACAAAAAAATGTTTGTTTTAAACTTGAACGATAAATTGAGTAGTTTATTTATTTATTTTTTGTCTTCTGCTAGCGAACATTTGCTAAGTATTTCAATCCTTGCTATGCTACTGCGAGGTTAAAACCAACATTCATCAGCAAGGTAAGATACATACAACATCCCTGTAGATTATTCTTTGTAAATTTTTGTTATAGTGAATATAAACCTCAGTCAAGAGCAGCCGAAAACAAGACAGATTTAAAGGCATTGACTGGAGGGGATTGAGAGTGAGGTCAGGCAGACAACTTTAACCCAATTCTTTTGTCCTCCACCTCTTTGGATCATTAGGATGGCAGTGTGCTTGGGTTAATGGTCTGAGTTGAAGCCACTGAAGGAGGTAATGGGGCCACTGTTTACAGAAGGTGAAGGGAACTGAAATGTAATTGCTTCTTGATTAAGATGTGAAAGGATTATGAAGAGTCCCTTGTGATTTTACTACCTCCCTCCCTGTGGTGAAAACACCATTTAATAAGGTCCTTTCATTGTGAAGATTGATTGTTAAGTGGAAAGGGATAGGAGAAAGCTTTATAAACTAATAAACAAGTGCTACTCTTAGTTGTCCATCCTGATTTCCTGAATCTTCTTCAGGACAATAACTGTATGCCAATCTTGGCACACAAGAAGGATACTATTAATGCCTCTTAAGCCATATTTGTTTTTTTTGGAGCCTTGAGAAGTTTGCTCAAGTCATTCATTTGTCCCATCCCTTATGACAGAGATTTAACAGGTTAGAGATGCAGATCATCTTTGTCACAGATTGCTTTTATACAAAGACTCCCTGGGGTGGACCTTCACCTACATACATAGGTATGTACATACATAGGGCCTCTCATGATGAGTGGAAGTAGTCGCTGATGTATTTCCAGTTCCTGTTTCTTTTCCCCCCAGTGCTGTCTTTTAGGATAGGGAAATCTACTCATTTCCTCCAGAGAGGCTCTTTCATGGAGATGAGTGCATTTCAGTTTTCTAATCTAACAGGGTTTGACAGTAGGCAAGTGAAAGGAGCACTGGATAAGACACTTGAGAAGTCTAGGTTCCAGGTTTGGTTCTGTTGTCTGCTGTGACGGCAGGCAAGTCACCTAACTCATTATATTTTTCTATCTGTGAAGAGGTAGCTTAATTATTCCCATATTCAATAGGGGTATTTTAATGGACAGCTGGAAAACAAAAAATTTTGCAACATTATTGAATTGCTGTGGAAATTCAGGGTAGTGGTATTTTCTGACAGTTATCATTACCCTTACTGTAAAAGGCAGTTGTGCAGATGGGTCAGTTAGTGAAGTTGGCCCTTTGGTGTGTTCTCACCTGTGAGGACCAGCTCCTTTACTAGGGATATTGCAGATCAGCATCAAGCATGCTGAGGATATTCATGTTACAGCATGACGGGCTATGCTTTGTCTTATAAGCTTGAAAAAGGATCCACTTGGCGTTATTCGTTTATTACTTTTTTTTAGGTAAATACAGCAGTCCAGTTAATCTTGGTAGCAGCTTCTTTGGCAGCTCCGGTTTTCAATTATGCTGACAGCATTTATCTTCAGATACTGTGGTAAGCTAAATTTAGAACTACTCTGAGAATGTCAAAAAAATGGCTGTGACAGTCCTTGAATGACTTTGTTCTTGTAGTGTTTATTGCGCACTGGCTGGATAAAGCCGTGGCTGTATTTTGTGATTGATACCATTCTTAAGAAGCTTACTACCAAGTATAGGATGTAGAAGGTAGCCTTCATGCAAATTAAAAGGGATGAGAGTTACTGATAATGTGGTAGGGTTTCAGAGGAAGAAAAGATACTTCCAGGTAGGGAGAAGAGGGAAAGTTTCAGGGAGGAAGTGAAATTTGAGCCATTAGGTATAGGTGGATATTGTACAGGGTGAGACTGGAGGGAGGCCTTCAGGCAAAAGGTAGACCCTCAGCAAAGTCAGCATGTAGAGAGTGGGTAGGGGAAGGTGAGTCCAGCCTAGTGAAGGGAAACCTGGAGAGAGGAGTTTGAATGTTATTTTATGATGCTAATTGCTTATTTATAGTCTTGAAAATGTGTCAAATTCAAACTTTCGGAGTTCAAAACGTGCCACATTGATATTGAAATACTATATTTTGGTACACTTTTAACTTTATAATTAAAACTTTCTTGCTTGATGTACTCTGGGCCAGAAAATGGTTGGTTAATCAAAGTCAGCTAAGCCAAAGAATCTTTAAAAATGATACATACTCTAAACTTTTAATTTTATTATTTTTGGCGGGGGGAGCGTGGCTGGCTGGTAGTAAACTTTTTATTTTAGTCTAAAGTATGTTATGTGCACATTCATTCTGATTAATCTTGTATCTTCTGATACAGGAGGAAGGCTTTTTTTTGAGTGCAGCTCCATCAATGGGTTTCTTCTTTCTTGAATAAACTACACCCGTAATACAACCTCTCTGATTTTTATTTTTTGTTTCTTTAAGGTGATTCAAGCACTTAGGACGTTTGTAAAGCAATCTGAATGTAGGAACCATCTAGATTTTTACCATTTTTATGTAGTCTTTCCACAATCATCTTGCCTACTTATTTTGACAGTATTTTTATCAGCCCACTTTTATTATTTCCAGAGCATCCATCTTAGTTCTCAGAAATGGCAGTTCTTCTTACATGTATGTTTCATTGATTTATGTATGAATTTAGAATATCACACAGGTTTGGGATCAAACAAAAATGAGTCTTGATTCTGCCTCAGCTGGTAGAAGCAGAAGTGCTTGGGTTCACCAGAAAGGAACCTATTAGCTGTGGGCATTCAGCATGCTGGAGGCATCACACATGTCATTTCAAGGAGAATCTGGCTAATATGGCAGTTCACTTAAGGAAAAATTGGTAAAGAAAGTTGAAATTTATTTAAAATGACTCAGATATCCTTAGAATTCTCAAAAACTGTAGGAAATAAAGTCTAATACCTAAGCAGCATGGAGCTGTGGAAAGAGCACATGGGCTTTAGAACCAAACCGGGTGCAAACATAGCTGTCTCATGCCCTGAGCAAGTTATCTGGGTCTCTGTTTCCTTGTCTGTTGGATGAAGTTGTTGTGAGAATAAAATGAGAACATAAGACACCTAGAATATTGTCTGGGTAAAAATGGCAGTTACTAGTATATCATTAGATTAGTTTTTAGGACTCATTATCTAGATTAATTTTCTTTGACATTACTAATTCAAATGAAGTCTTAAAGAAAAGCAATGTATTTAGGTTCTTGTAGTTAAAAGTTATACTACACAGCCCTTTTTGTTTGTTAAACAGATCTTTTGCATGTATTTTGTATGATTCTCACTGTTACTGTTTTTCAGACTTGACAACTAAATTTTCTTTCTTTCCTTCCATGAAAGGTGTTTTACAGCTTTAACGACAGCTGCATCAGCTTACAGTTATTATCATTATGGTCGGAAAACTGTTCAAGTGATAAAAGACAGATGAAAGTCGTCCATCAGCACTAGCAAGGAAGCAATATATACATCCGCGGCAGAGCCAGTGGAAATCTAGAGGAGTTTCCCTGTTTTGATGTTCAGCTTGAAAAAGGACTTATCAGAACAAACCTTGTCATTAAAATTTAAGTAATGTGCATTGAAAATAAGCTTGATCGTGGGCATATGCAGAATTTCAATGTATTTTTAAATACAAATAAAACTATAATTTAGAATTTTTAATCTTAGGTTTCTTGATTAAGAGATCAATTAGTTATTCTAATTATTGTCAGTCATTTTTTTAGTATGTTTCTTAAAAACATAGTCCAGAGCATGGAAACTAAAGTTGACACCTCTCTTTAAGTAGAATTTAGATTGGTTACAAAGCAGTAGGGAGTTTCCTGGGTTTAAATATGTATCCTATACAATTTGGATATACATTTTTATGTTTGATTTTTAGATCCATGTATACATTAACAATTCATGTGGTTAATATTTGATCATATAGGATAATAAGAATAAAGTTAGCTTAGCTGTGGATGAAGTAAAGTTGTAAAGAGATTTAAAATTAAGTTTTGAAAATAATAAATGAGGTCAAACAACATAGGTATTGAAGTTCGTGTTCAGTAGTCTTCCAGCTCTCAGGTGCCTCATAGTTTATGTATCAGGATAACAAATAGCAAAGGTAGTTGAAATTGAGAATGTGGCCATTAACCTTTGCATCTAAAAGGTAGTTACATTCTGGCTTCCCACTGTGTTTCTAACGTAGCAATGTTTGTATGATATTGAAACCTGTACTTATGTTATGTAAATAATATGAAACTGTATATTTTTCAAAGGTTTTTAAAAAAACTTTGGGGAATCTTCTTTTGTTGAGATGTTAAAAGAATAAAAGAGCTAGAAAAAAAAAATTGTACCTTCCACTTGTTCCATATAGCATTCTTATCCTCTGCTGTTGCATAAGGTTTGTGTCATAAAGTCTATTCACATATACCCCTTACATTGTAGAAAGAGTTAGTTTGGGACCATCTGACTTAAAAGACCTTTTTCTCGCTACACCATCATGTTTAGGAGAGTGAGGGATACAGGGAGGTGAGAGGAAGGCAGTGGCTGGTGCTGGTTGCTTCCTCTTAACTGTAGAGGTCTATTGCTGCCCATTGTCCATGGTTTTAACCCAAGCATAATATGGAATCATACAGTGAGATTATCGGTTTGAACCCAAGCATAATATGGAATCATACAGTGAGATTATCCAATCAGCTTGCTGAGCTGTGTTAAATAAAATGGGTAGTTATAAGTAAAACTCAGGCCTCTTGGCAGCAGCGTTCTGCATCAATGTGCCTCTGTTGCTTGCCACTCCTGGCTTTCTTTTTCCCAGACTAGCAGACTAGCAGCTGAGTCATTCTTGTCTTGGAGCATACTGAAGCCTGCAGCCAGGGATGCGGCCACTGACTCAGATGGACGGTGAGAGGGGAGAGAAGGATGGCAAGTGGCTGGCTGTTCTCTCCCTTTAGAACCTCCCTTACGGTCGCATAGCTGGGAGGCAGCAAGACTAGAGGTGGAAGTCCCACTATTGGATCACCAAAGAGGCATACTGAGCGAGAGCAGAACCGGGTTTGGTTCTGTTGTCTGCTGTGACTGCAAGCAAGTCACCTAACTCATTTTTTTCACCTATGAAGAGGTAGTTAATTATTCCCATATTCATAGGGGTGTTTTAATGGGCATCCGGGAAGAAGGCAAAGAATTTTGCAACATTATTGAATTGCTATGGAAATTCAGAGTAGTGGTATTTTGTGACAGTGGTCATTACCTTTACTGTAAAGGGCATCTGTGCACACGTGATCAGGTTAGGGTGAGGTCATACCGGATTTCAATGGACCTTACTCCAATGACTAGTGTCTTTATAAGAAGAGGGAAGTTTGGATATAGAGACAGACTGCCACGTGGTGATGGAGGCATAGATTGCAGTGATGTCTGAAAGCCAAGGAACACTAAGGATTGCTGCTAACCATCAGAAGCCAGGAAAGGGGCGTGAAACAACTTCTCAGGGCCTCCAGGAGGAACCAACCCTGCTGATACCTTAATTTCAAATTTCTAGCCTGAACTATAGGAAAATAAATTTGTTTCAAGCAAGTTTTACCAGTTTTTGGTAATTTGTTATGGCAGGCACAGGAAACTTAACAAATGCTAATGTAAAAAATTGAAATCTAGAAATGGTCCCAATTATTTCATAGAATCATTTCCCCCCTAATTCGTATAAAAGTAAAGGGTATAGTAGACACATCCCACATAAGACACAAATCATTAAGGCATTATTTGATGGAGTTGGAAGCAGAGAAATGCTTTGGCTTCTAGCTAGAACCTTGAGGTTCTCTTTTGCCCATTTCTTCCAAGAAAAATAAAGTTGCTGAAAGGGATATTATGCTTCAGAAAAGAATTCATAGTTCCTTTGTCCACTTAGGTGAAATGCAGTGAACACTGACTTTTAAAGGATCAGTCTTTTGCCGTGTTTCTCAAATGTTCCCAGAAGACTATAGTAACTGTAGAGCTGGAAGTAGATTCTTTTGCCATATCCAGAAATGCAACTAATAAAAACTCAGGAAACAACCAATAGATCTTCTCCCTCGCCCCCAGTCCTCGAGTTAACAATACATTGGAGTTGATTCCTTGAATAACTTGGTTCATTGTGCCTTAGCCAGAGCTTGACCATAAGGAACTTTTGCTAAAAAAGACCCGAGGGTGTCATTTCCAATATGGCAGGATAGGATGGCTTATGTGATTTCTCTGTTTTTTCCCTTCCTACTTCCATACACTATTCTATTGGATACTGAGCGGCACCGACTGCTGAAAAACCCAAATGAAACAACACACAAGAATGCCCAGTGGCAATGGGAGTAGTCTGACGTTGGCCATCAGGCTTCTGGGAACAGGCACTAAAGTAGAAGGAAGGGAAGGCAAGTTGTTCCTTGGACTGAGAAAACTCAGTGTGGCAAGTCCCGTGTGTGCCCAGGCATGCTGGCTGCTGGCTCCAGGAGAATTACAGCCCCTTAGAGCTGACGAGTCCGTCCTTGGCCCTCTGGATCTTCCGTTCTGCACTCAGTTCGAGTTCGATTGGAGCAGGGGAGCTGGGCTAACTGCAGGTCTGCAGCTTCAGCGGGTAGTCAAAGGCCGGGTTTTTGTAGGCCACCAGGCGCGTGTCGTGTTGCTGCCGGCGTGGCGTGCTGCGGCTCCGCCTGCAGAGACACGCGGCCAGCACCAGGGTGCTGACGAGCAGCAGTCCGCTGGCGGCGCACAGCCCCGCGAAGATGAGCACGAAGCTGGGCTTGGTGGTGAAGACGACGCACCCGCTCCTCCAGCCCGAGGCCCGCGGCTGGCTCAGGCCCGCCCTGTTGGCAGCCAGCACGCACACGCGGTACGTGGTGGCCGGCGACAGCCCGTACAAAGGGTGCTGCCGGGCCGTGGCGTAGATGCCCCCCAGCACCGACTGGTTCCCCGCCCGGCCCTCTGCGGAGTAACGGATCTGGTAGCCGTGCACCACCGAATTGGGGGCACACCAGTGGACAAGCACCGACGTGTCGGTCATCTCCGACACCCCCTGCAGCTTGGGAGGGTCCGGGATGGTGTCCTCCCCGCTGAGGCCGGGGCAGCGGCACCGCTGGCGCCTCTGCAGCTGCGCGCACGGGGTCTGCAGGTGCTTGCAGGGGTGGTAGTCACAAGGCACATCCTGCGGAGGCGCTTCCACCCCCTCCATTGTCCCCTCTTCCTCCTCCTCCCTGTAGTCGTCCAATAGGAGGATTGGAATCCCGGCCTCGGAAGGACTCGGGTGGGGAGGCTGGGGGGTGGCCTGTGTCCTCTGGTTGGGCTGAGGCGTGCTCACGGGGTTCCACGAGGTAGGGAAGGGACTAAGGCGTTTGCTGGTCAATGGGGTGGAGGCGGCTGAGATAGGAGGCTCATGGAAGTGCCCGGCAGCGTGTCCTCCTCGGTGCTCTGTCCCGGCCGTGCTGACAGCTCTGGGCGGAACGCTGGAGCTGCTGTGACCTGCTGTAGAGTTGGTAGTGGACGGGGTAGTCCCCGCCTCGTCATGGCCGTGCAGCTCTGCAGCTCGGGTGAAGGAATCCAGAGGGAGGGAGAGGGGCGTGGAGACGCTCGGTGGGCCTCCTGCAGGTAGGGTGAAGGCGGCCGAGCCCAGCGGGGTGGAGGGACCCTGTGCAGATGGTGCATGGTAGGTGCGGGGCAAGGACGGTGGGGTTGAAGCAAAGAGGGTGGTGCTTTGGTCCCACTGGCACACATCCGGTAGCTGGGAGAGGGAAAGAGGGGCCGAGAAGGGGCCTCTGGATCCCGCAGCTGGCACGCACACAGTGTCTGCTGCCCTAGAGGAGAAGCGGCCAGTTAGAAGATGTCTGGCTTCAGCGATGCTTGCTTCTGTGCTGGGCTTTGACTCCTCAGTGCGGGTGCCCCTCTTGCCAAGCCTTGCCAAGGTGTCTCTGCCAGGGACCACATGCTGCACACTCCACACATCACCCCACTGACTCTGGGAAACCCCTGCAGGAGCCTCCCGTGGTGACTCCCATTGGGTGGAGGGGCAGAGAAGGAAACGGAAGTTCAGAAAAAGGAGCTAACTGCCCAAGATAACATGGCCAGCAAATGGCAGAGCCTATACCCGGGGCAAGCTCTGTGAGAGGGAGTCCAGATTCTAAGTGCGGTTCACCATTTTGTGCTCACCTGTCTGCTTCCTGGCAGTGAATACTAGTGATAATATTCATACACGAGGTAGTATTTCTGAGTGCTTGCCACGTGCTAGGGACTATTCTTTGCACTCTACCTTTCAACTAATTTAATCTGCACTGTATGATGTAGGCAGTATTAGCTCCATTTTACAGATGAGAAGGTAGAGGCACAGAGGGGATAAGTAACTCAGCTGAAATCAACAGTAGTAAATGGTATGAAGCCAGAATCTCTGGCTCCAAAGCCTGCATTCTCAATCTCTTCATAAATACCATAGGGAGACCCTTGACTGCCAAGGTCCAGGGTGCGTTTCTTTAGAGTCAACGTGGCAGCGGCAGACTGAGCCCTACTTCACAGGAGGACTTCGGTGGGAGGTGAGAAAAGAATTACCCCAGATGGGAGCGGGGGCAGGGGGTGTCTCCTGAAGAGGAGTGGTTAGCTGGTGGAGTTGCTTTGAGAGTGCCCAGAACTGGGGGATCTGAGTACCAGATCCCCAGGCCCCATCCTCTCCTGGTGGCCAGCCTAGGTGTGGCTCCCCACTGCAAAAACAGCTCCTCTAGCCAATGGCCTTCACAGGATTTCTCTTTTTCCTGTCACACAAGAGCTCTATAAGCCCCCTGGCCTTGGACTGAAAGACCCAGGAGCAGGAGGCCAGGCACCATCTTGGGGATTCAGGGGTGTCCAGTGGTTAAGAGCACAATTTTGGAGGAAGATAGATCCTGCCTCCTCCATCTAGTGGCTGCATGAATTTAAGCAAGTACTTCATCTCTTTGGGCCCCATTCCGCTCGTCTGTAAAACGAGGCAATGATTATACCTGCTCTGGCAGAGACAAGCTAGCTGTTCACTTAACCCATTTCCTTTTCCTGTGCACACAGCTAGACTACATTTCCCAGCTTCCCCTGCAGTTAGGTGTGGCCAATGAGTGTGAGTGGAAGTGAGGCACATCACCTCCCGGCCTGGCCCATTAGAAACCTTCTCTGTCTGCTCTTTCATGCTCTTTGCCTCTTCTGGCTGGCTGGAATGGAGGCAGATCCTCCATCACCTGGGTCCCAGAGTGTAACTGCATGGGGGTGGGGGTGGGGTGGCCTACCTGCCCATCACTGCCGAAGTGTCCAGCACAGTCACATGAGTAAGACATAAGCTGTGAGGACTTCAGCTCCTGAGGGCTGACCCTCACCTCTCAGCCATCTGCTTTGTAAATGTGTTACCTGCTTAGAACAGCTCTCTTTGCATCCATGAGGAGCCAGGACAACTCACAGCTGCAAGTGAGGGGGTTGCCAAAGAGGTTGATGGATAAGACCTGGGAGGAATTCAGGGTCCAAGGAGGGAAGGAACTCAAGTTGCAGCTGAAATACACAAAAAATCAAAATATTTCCAGAGAGAAATGGTGGCGTCACGGAAAAGTCATTCTGTTAGTTGTTAGATGATATTGCTTTGGGCAAAACACTTTAATGGCCTAGGACTTCATTTTTGGTCATCTGTAAAAGGGAGATATCAATCTAACTCAGTCAGTATCATCCCTCATATCAAATACTTGCATGCTCATTGGTTATGTCAGAAAGAGTCTGTGATGAAAGTGTTTATAAATGCAAATCTCAACACAAACGTAGATATTGTTATTACAGATCAGTGACAAGAAATGGCAGGAATTCTTAACGAGAACACTATTTTTTTTTTTTTTTTTTTTTTTTTTTTTTTTTTTTCCGTGTCC